AATACACATTTTTGTGTACGCAGGGTATCGGAGGAGTCAAGCAACCTTAAAAATCATTACACGCTCCGGTATACCTTTTGAAAGTTGACCAATCGTTAATCACAAAGTTAGTTTTTAATTGGTTTCTTAGCAAACAGATAGAATTGCGAACGGCTCGACATAGAACAAAAACGCCGTCAGTGCTCCTGTTTATAAAAAATAGATTAGCTCTTCATCGTGCCCGTTCATACAGATGTTGTGAGGCGATTAATATAGCCTTGTCTCCACGCGAGGCGATAGAGAATGTATGGGCGATAAAAGCGAATGATGAACCACTTCTGATTCTTGCGCAGGAGTTCCTTTTGATTTTTAAACTGAAGATACTGTCGACACAGTCCAGATCTTTGCAGGCCTATAGTGCAGATATTTTATTGCTATTAAACAGTACTCTGTAAATTTGTCCTTTTTCGTTACTTGTAAACAATATGATTACTTTAAACACCTTCGTGAATTTTCAAGAGCTCCGCTATACCCTTTAAGGCCGTGGGAACATATCGTACGAATATTCTTATATAGTAAATACATATATCACCGGCCCCTTGCTTTGCAGTTTGCATCTTCAGAGTGCATGTCACAACAGGACTGATTACTTAGACAAATCAAAAAATTCCAGGTACTTGCTGCCCGACAGCAAAATTCAGTGGCTAAAAATCGGAGCGTTGCATAGCTGAAGAATGACATCTAAATTTTTACGAATTTTGGGAAAAAGAAATTTTTTCTCGAATGTTGGGCCAGCGAAGCAGCTATTGGGGCAAAAGAGCACTGTTTAGCTACCTAATCAAAGATTTGCAATTGAGCCCTATATTTATGTCTGTACTCATCATAAACACATGGAAGCCCCAGATGCGCATATTTTAGCTACTAGTTTTGTAATTTGTGTATATTCAGACTTGTATTAGTTACATAGTTAGACAGCTAGATTAACTACACCTACCAGCTGCAAATTCCTTCTAAAAATAACCCTCTAGAGGCGAATTTGCCCTGTACTGATCTGCGTATACAGCTCTTCGTCAAGAGGAACATACTGCTTTTTTCTATGGTCAAGGAAAAACAGTGGGTCTTGAATTTTGTTTGGATTAAATCCTTCACTGACAAGATTGTTCTTCTTATACTTGAACGTCGTGGTCGATTCTATTTCGTCGACATATCGTATAAACAACGGAATCGCATATCCAGGTAAAATATCCGCCATCTGATTCAAAAGCCGGTCGAGGTCAATTTTCGAGGCTTGATCCTGCTTGTTGAGTATAGCAGCCATTCCTGCCTTACCCTCAGTACCTTTGACAGCGACACCGTAGACAATGGCATCCGTTAAACCTATAATTTTCGCTATGACGCTTTCCACCTCGTTAGTGGACACGTTTTCACTTTTCCAACGGAATGTATCTCCGGTGCGGTCCTGAAAATAAACGTAGCCAAGTTCATCGTAGACAACTATATCACCCGTTGCAAATGCGCACTCGCCATGTTGAAGAATGTCGGTGTAGATTTTCTTTTTTGTTGCCTCCGCATCGAGATAGCCTTCGAAACGCATTGACAGTTGAGCTGTGATAATTCCAACGAGTTCTCCGGGCTCGTGAGGACCACACTCGATGCACAAGCCTCGGCTGTTCCTTATCGGTTTGCCATTCTCAGGGTCGACCTTAATGACATGCATAGGAAGGATGGCGCGGGAAATAGTTTTGCTCATGCGGCATACCGTTGGCAAGAATCCAACTGCGCCCGGCGTGTTGTCCGTGTTGATTAGACCGGCGTTCCCTTCTGTTGACCCGTAGATCTCGCGAATATCTTTTACACGAAAGCGTTTTTTAAACTCGTTCCACAACTGCTTTCTGGCTCCATGTCCGTAAAGCATTCTCACCTGATGTGTATTGTCTGTATCGCGTTCTGGCTGCGCAAGAACATATCTGATCATTTCACCTATGTACAGAACAACTGTACACTCGTACGTTTTGCATTCTGCCCAAAATCGGGAGGCTGAAAATTTGGTAGAAATATGGCACGATAGGCCGTAGACTATACACGGCCCAGGTCCTAGAGTACCCCCAGAGTTGTGGTACAAGGGCACACTTAGGTAGATTTTGTCGGAAGTCCTGAAACGGCACACATAGTACATATTTGCAGCGCAATACATGTAACGTTGATTTGTAATTATAGCAGCCTTTGGTAGGCCCGTCGTTCCCGAAGTGAAAATGTAGAGAAGACGATCTCTGGCTTTACCCTGGTGAATTGATTCTTTAGCTGAAGCTTTCTCGACGTATTGCATAAGGTCTTGGCTCCTTACTTCACCACAAAATTTCTTGCCTACATGATAAAACGCGATGGAGGAATCCTTGATGTGGGGTAATGCTGAGTCTATAGAGGTTCCTAAAGAACTACTGAATATAACTACTTTGCTGTTAATCACGTTGATGCAGTGAGCTAACGAGGTATTTTTCAAGTTGGAATTTATTAAACCTGTAACCACTCCGAGTTTGCTTAAGCCCAACCATATCATTACGAATTCTGGCCGATTTTCCATCAATAAGGCGACTTCGTCCCGTGGTCGGAGACCTACTTCCCGAAAATAATTAGCCACTTTATTACTGAACTCCCTCACTTCACTAAATGTCCATTTCGATTCATTTGAAGACATAAACAATTTGTCTGGATAAGTATCAGCGGTTTCGGTGAACAGCTGAGGTACTGTAGCTTCCCGCTTGACTTGAGCAAGCAGGGCTTTTCTTGCTCGGTTTGCAGCATATCCGGCGGCTAGATCTCGCGGCAAAGTTCGGCAAAAGAGCTTCAACTCATCCAAATATTTAATCACAAAGTGATTCAAAATGGCCCATAAAACCCCCACTATTGGCGACCACTGATGAATAGGATACCACAACGTCGACGCCAGCCCCAACCATAGCATTCGTGCAAATACATTTAGATTAATGAGGTTAGCCATGGTTTTCTTTTTTGTTTTTCGTTCTCAAAGATAAAGTATGCTGTCTAGCCAGCACAAACTTATCTTCAGATGTTTATGACGTTGTATTTTTTCAGCAGCAAATTTTTAGTTGAAACATCACCGGTACAACTTGACGCATGTAATACAGATGTTTACTCGTTAGAGAAAACGACAAATGGTATTTGACACGTGCTGGTCAGTATATCAGCTAGTAATCAGTCAAACCTAGCACAGAGTACACATATCATCCCAGTAAAACAGCCAAAAGCGCCATCACACGTCATGCCGGAGGCGCAACGCCTGCTTGGATCTTTAACCGCTTGTGCTCACACCTACTCCCTCCTCCACCACGAAGTGAAGGAGGGCATCGCCGGCAAAATTTGAACAACAAATCTTGTGTTATTGACACGAATTTTGTATATTGCGCATTATGGGTTCGAAACAACAACAAAGCCACTGTGTGGGCTTGGCATTCAGGCACTGTTTCCTATTAGGCCAGGAACTTCCACCGTCCTGGCAAGACTAAAAAAACCTGAATAATCATGGGCCGAAAATTATAGTTATTTTTCAAACCCCAAGGGAATAATCAGGCATACCCAAGGGTTCAAAGTTTTTACGCCCATTATTTTAGATTAGATTTGTAGTCTAAAACGTTTGACCGTTTTATTTTAATACATTTGTTACAGTTCTTTCTAACAAATCGAACTTCAAAGGTCACACGCGTTAATGTTTAGCTTGGATTTCAATCTATAAAAATAATTCGCTTGCTGGCTTACAAGTATATAAAGAGATGTACAGATGCACACAAAGACTAAGGCAAAACTCGCATCGAACTTCAGTAAAAGTTCTACAAAAAAAATCCGTGGTTTTTTTATATTGAATTAGAGCTTTTCGTAGTACAAATATCGAATTGATTGCATTAATTGATTAGAAGCTGGTAAACACCACGTATAATAAAAATAAATTAACTATATAGTACTCGTAATTTTCCTTCGTAAACGGATGGATGGATCTCACTTTAAATCAGTAAATATAACATGGACCTCTATTACTGGAGGCATGTGTCCTCAACCAACACCTGCCATTTGCCAATTAACACTACACTGTCTGCTGATTTTACTATTGATATCTAAATCAGACCTTCGCCATAGGCATATATAATTAGCTAAGACCAAGCTTTTAGATCTTTAACAGCCATACAACCTTATTTAGAGAACCCTTGATCATCTGCTATCTGAAAGCCTATTTTGCCTCTTCAGTTGACATGCAAGGATACTAGATAATTTTTCGAGGTTTCTGCAGACCCGGGTCCGACTCCTTACAAAAACGCTATAGATCTAATACGTTAATATGTAGTAGAAACGATTGATTCAAGTTACTTTCGTATTTCTGCATAGTTTGGTAATAAATATAGAATGAACCTAGGTTAAATTAAACCTTGAACCACATTTTCGAATAGAACCGTATTCTGCTCTTGCATGGATCATTTCAGTTAAAATACTTGTATTTTTTTACTCCATAGACAAGCTTCGCAGTGGCGCCTACCAGTTAGCACTCAGATGACACAAACTCAGACGACCCCTATGATGTATACACGTATCGGGCTCCGTGATGCTCAGCCAACCGGAGTTCTTAAATAGCCGATAATTCTCTAGCTACTCTGTAAGATATGGAACATTATCATGAATGACTTATCAATGCTTGATTGAATGATCCTTTTAAATCAGCATCCAAACCTGTATTTCCAGCAGTATTGTTACATTTATATGCTGAATTTTGCATTCACGTGGAAGGGGTAGACTCATAGGGTTTTTACAGATTTATTACAGCGACATGTTCGCAGATTTTTCGACAAAAACGGCACGGCCACATGCAGACATTCCTCTCTTCGAAGCATTACATTTGCCAGAAAAACCTCCACTTCCATAATTTTTCATGTTATAGCTATAAGCCTCCAGTTTCAATATGCCTAAACTTTTACTACTAATAATATGTAAAATAAATATTAAAACGATTTGTAAAATCCATATACTCAGGCAAAGTTTATTTTCATAAAATACACCATGTATTGGGTATAGTACATTTCCGCATTGATTCGATGCATTATTAATATGAAAATAATGCTGCTCACTACATATATAATCGACCTAACAGAATCCAGCCACATATTTTGACTTGAATATTCAGCTTTTTCTTTGGAAGTTTTTGGATGGTTATGTCTTACTTACAGAACACATAACGCTAGATTAGAGAGGCTTCTAAAAACAGCAACAAACGCATTTCTACACGATGTACATTTGTAATACATTTAAGGTCATTCTAACACACTTTATGCAAGCACCTTCTTTACTGTTCCATGTTGTCGTTCATCAGCGTGAGGACTGGAACCGTATAATTTTGATCGAACTTGTTCTTTTTGAGTTCGGCTTGCTGAGAACGCGCTTATAGTATACGTTCGATCCAAGCTGAATCTTCTTCAATACGAATGGACATTTGCTGTAGGTCGGATGACTGAAATTCTTGGATGAACTCAAACAATGTCGGCTTTTATTTGTTCTAAAGCGACTCTCTGACATAGGTGCCCCAAATATGGCTGTATCCAATTCAGTCAGCTGTTTAGGTCGTGGAAGATGCCAAACTCTGCTATTAACAGATGTGACTGCCGATGCATCTGGTTCAAATAGTAAAACATCCGCTGTTTGCATATTCAGTTCTCCCGTATCTGTATTAAACACACTATGAAATGGCTCGGAAGCTTCAATGGCGTGCAATTCGGGGTCATTTTCTATTCCGTATAGCAACATCTCTCCGACGATTTTCGATTTCTTCCAGGCATCCCCAAGTCCTAACTTCTATTAAATAGATGAAAGAGAAATAATCATATGGATTACATGTAAATTATCGCGTACTGGACAAACTTCATTGAATATATCTATGACGAAAAAATCAAAAGCCGTTATATATGAGGAGATCTTAGTGGCAAAGTTATTTAACATGAATAACGTTGCCTGCGATAAGCAAAACTACGCTGTCGTGCCCTACATATATTCAATCTCAAGTGACGGCTTTTTGAAATTTCTAAAGCATATACTGAATGTTCTTACTGTCCCAGAACGAGCCAATAAAAATAGCCCAACAAATAAAATTAAGGCGCAGAACAAAAACAAAAAACCAACAGTGCCACTCGATTTTCATTTTTGAATTGTAATGCTTGTTAGGCGTTTGCTTTATCGCGAAATCTAGCAGAATCTTTAGCGCTCTTTTTAAAAACTAGGCCAGCGTTATCATAGTTGGTGAAACCTCTACTCTCTTTAAAATATCATATTTAATCAATTTTATTTTCTTTTTCAGAAATGCGTAACTACTCTCTACCTGCGTGTAGCTCAGGCGACGGAGGTTACACCAAGCCTGTCGCAACACTCTATAATTGAATAATAGCAGTCCAGGTGCCCAACGAATCTGTTCGATACTGAAACCAAGCTCGCTGATAAGAAAGTTGGCAGAGTCTTTGGCAGTTAACAAACACCTATAAAGCAAAAAAGCATGTTCCAGTTTTTCGAGCTTATTGTCGATGGACTTTTTTAAGTTTAGTGTAGTTTAAAATTTAAATTAGACCGCCCTTCCACGTGAGCACTGTATCTGTGGTGGAATCGGATTGCAAAGCTAAAAGGAAAAAAAGTGATCGTATGTATAATTCTTACCCGCCTATGGATGTGGATTGATGCAGTCGTAGCTTTTTAGAAAGATCCAACTTTTGCTTTTTGGTACTAATTTGGAGACGCGATGACACATACTTCAGAAAGTCCCGATTCACTCCCTTTAAAAGATCCGGTTGTAACTCATTGAAGAGAATTGTTCCAATAGACAAAAATGTTAGTATGGTACATTTTTTTTTTACCTTTGATTATTATATTACACAAGTGCAACTTCGTAATTAATATTTTTGTGTAACTAAGTGGCAGTGGTAAAACTTTCACTACAAAAAACTATCATATTTGCCTGACAGTCTAAGTGATACCAGAATATGCTTATTTTACATACAGCATGTAGTTCGTGGTCTCGAAGCCGATTCCGATTTCTTACTAGCTGACGCAAAAACAAAGGACTATTTCGATGAACCGAACCTTCCGTTAACTGCAACGAACAAGACACGTGCAAGATCGATTGACTAATGTCAAAATTATTTACCCTTTATCTTACATTTTTCCAAGATGCATCGCTAATTAGTTCTCATAACAAGCTTATGAAAAACAATACAGCATTAAACTGCTCTGCGACTTGTTTTGTGCCACGCACTTTGTTGACTATATACACTGTTGTGCTTGCACGTTACCCAAAACTCAGACCCTTTGGCATTCATGTCTTACCTTATTAAGCTCTGTGAAGCGTTTGAGCAGAACATTCGGCCTACAAACATAAATCAGAGGGAATAACCACACTTGTTCAGGAGTGACCCTCTGGTGGTACAAAATGTATTCAATTTCGCAGATTTTGTCGACCTTTGCTGTAAGTATCCTAGGTTCCTCACGAACTATCTCGCGTAAAGTAAACGTTGCCAAGGAAGGTATCTAAAGAAAAAAGTCAAAAAGTTTTTGGTGAATTGTTACCATAATTATTCTCCGTTCTACTACTACTCTTAACATACAGTTATTTATCATTTCAGAGTATCTAGATTCCTTCAACTTGCTTCGCCTTGTCTACCATTTGAGGTCTAAACTTGGGTCTAAAATCTACGTTAAAACACAGTGCGCAGTAGGGTACTCCAGATAACTTACATGAAAAATATAGCACTATTCGAAACTTGCAAATACATTTTGTAGTGCCGTGCGAATTCAAAGAGAGCAAAACAAAATAGACAACTACACAAAAAATTTTACATATAAAAATCTTGGCAGGTATTAAATATGGAACGAATAGTTAAAAACGTTCTATTCACATGTTTTACATGTACATCACGTCCAACCGTTTGCTCAGTCTTGTTTTGCAATTGCAATCAACCGATGTGAGCACTCCAAGTTTGCAATGGTTGTGTATAATTGCATAATAACGCAAGGACACAGCAGTAAATATACTTTTCATTCAACGTACCCTACACTTAGGATTAAACTTACCCTATGGCAGTCGATATCTATCGATAACTATTTACGTAGTTAAGTTCAGCTATACGGGCAGGTTTGTTCGTTCGATCATAACTAGGACGAAAGCAAGGCTACAGTTTTGATTGACTTAAGCCATTAGTTGAATTTCGAGGCTACAGAAGAAAGTACACTTACAATTGTAGACGACCCAGACACGTAATTTTCTAGTTACTCAGGTGCAAAAGACACATTTACATAAAAGTAACGGTCATTAGAATGCGTAAATTATTTTTACCGATTTACATCGATGGCGTGGCATACACAAGAATTATAACGATAATCGAACAAATGATTATAATTTGCTTGAAGTAAAGTCTTGGACACATCATTAACCCGTTCACATATTTTGCGTCTGCATAATCTAATCGCTTCAAATAAATGTATATGACAATATGTAGTAGCAACTAAAGTCGGAACTGAAAAATGTAATATCTTGTTTTGTTAAATCTTTGACCCAGTCCATTGGGGTATGCTCGTCACAAGGTTATTTCAACTGATTTTCTTCTCAATGGTATTACGTAGCCTCTACAAATATTACTCCATTGAAGAGATCAAGAGCGCAGCATATGTGGTGTCCTGTTCTTAGTAGTTAAGTTGAGTATTTGTGCTGCTATATACACGATAGTGAATAGAAACCTTAAGCGGAAAAATATATGATCTGGCTTTGTTGACACATTTTGTGTATATATGCCCGTTGACGGGCATGAACAAGCGTCTCGCTAAACCCGGCGCCCAGGTGCTGTCTTTTACTGAACTTAACCCTTAACACATTTGAATTTCTAAAAAAACTCAAAATATATAATCCATATGTAACAAAATAAACGTATAAATAAACTTACTTCGTTAACTACCAATAACGCCTTGATGATGACAAGAATCTTTGCACCATTTTTGATTATACGCGCCATTGCATATAATTATAAACGATGGTGGTAAAATCGTGACATCATTCTCTCAAAAATAGACACACATTCGAAAAGTCACCACCGTAAGTTCACACCCGTCCCACTTTTTTGTACATTACAACCTCAATGTATTACTTACCCTATGTATGATTTCTTGAAGGTTTGATATGTCAACATTATACAAGAAGCTGGATTTTTGGATTGTATCTCGATCGAAGCCAAGCTCTCCTAGAAGGGTGTCAACTGTCGAACGGAAAGAGAGTTGACTTAACGGGCGCACCTGTAGGCCAAATCCGATTTATCATTACATGCCAGGCCTAGCTAATGTTGAAACTAGCTAAGAAAATAAATGTCACTAGTGAACAAAACCAAGATTACTATTTCATTTTAAACAGTTTTACCAAATATACATTACTCGTTTATCAATAGTTATAAAACGGCAATCCACCCTTTTTTTTCGCAGATTCAATTGGTGAGTCTGTTGTATCTTCTCCGTCTTCGCTATTGACTGCGCAATTTAGTACCGGCTTTGAACTCATTTTTATTTCTTCGAACCTTGCAGGCGGTAAGGGACGCCAGTTCGAGGTAGCAGATATATTCCCCGTCAAGTTATCCGATGTATGTGATTTACATGTTTCAGTATCCGCTGAATTTTCAGTACTGTCCCCGTATACAAAATCTTCGTCAAATTCTTTGCAGTGAGCTCTCTTCGCAAAATAAATACTCTGAGAGGGATACCGCAACCTATCGGTGTCTGCCTTTTCAGTTTGCCTCACTATGCCGCATTCGATCTCATAGAGTAGCATCTCACCGGCAAATTTGAATTTCCGCCATTCCTTTCCGAGACCAAGTTCCTGCACCATCGTAAAAATAATAGAATCACATTTAATAAAGGGACGCGCCAATTAAAGCTTGATCTATACGGTTGTATGACACTTCTATAGCTTCCTACCTTAATGTAGTCCAGTTCCTGTAAAACAGCCCAGCCCTCACGCAGAACTTCCTGACTGTGTAACAGCAACCCAGGGGCTGCCATAATCTGCTCCTTACTGAGAGAAAGTTCACCCAGGAGAACAGTAGCAGAACACTGAGTGTTCATAGGCGAGCTAAAAAAACATGAATACAAATTATTTGCTAACATTTTTAAACAAACGCATTTCTATATCCTAAAATACTTATATCCTGATCTGCATTTTTTAAGCCTTATGCCTCATGATGTAAAAGCTAGACAACAACTAGTACTTTAGATTTTTTAGAATTGCTTGCGGGAGCCGTAATTCAATAATTTAATGATAATATTTTAGGTCGCCAGCATAGGGATTTGTTGATAAAAACTTTGAGAACCAAAAAAAAATTGCACGAGATAAGAAATTTTAAATACGCTATAAATTCGAACTTTACAATGATCAACCTTCGTCACATATGTTTAGGCCAGGCGATAGTTTTCATTGGTTACCTTTGTTAACAGTATCTAGGAAACGGAAATTAAAAAAATAATAACAATCAATCATTTGTAATTTACAGCTGCACCACATTTACACAGTCTGCATTAGTAGACGCAATCAAAAATTTTATTAAATAATCTTTAAGAATAATAAGATAGTTATGAGTTACAATGATCTGCGATTAGTTCGGGTCTTAAAATACAATTAATTTAAATAAATTTATAAGGTAAATGCTATTGTTATTGCTAAAAAAATTGTTAAACAACCGTTTTATCTCAGTTCTAAATACCTGAGCAGAGAGGTCTTGTGAAGTCTCAACTTGGTGGCGAACATCATTTTTTCGTTATGATCAACGATCTTGAGACGCCTTTGTAGGTACCTTATCAGATCATTAGTTGCTTGTAATTTTAGATTACTCTGTAAATCGAGTTCAGGTTGAACAAAAGCCCAACGGTAGAAAACTGGCAGTATTAATAAGCTGCTATCTAGCATTTACAAAAAAGAATATAGCTTACACCTGAGTGAAGATGTGTCATATATCAACAATATTTATTTATGAACAATTCGTTTAAAACTTAGGTAACACTTGTCGACATAAGAGTGGACGGTATATTCTTACGTTTTTGCTCTTGTTTCACATCCAAAAGTCATTTACACAAAAATAGACATCTCAATAGGGATACACGTATCTAAGCAACATAAGGCACATGGCTGAATTGAGACAATCTATATGTACATTATTTATATACAGAACTTCAATACACATCTTTTGTACTTTGTGCCTGAAAAACTTACTCAATTAGCCGCTCTAATAACAAACTAAAACCAAGAAATAATTTAAGCAAGCAAAAATTACACTTCTCATGTGACGTACCACGCCTATATTCTCTCTTTGCACGTCCCAATTGTTTGTTAGTACCCTTAGGAACATGAGACTTTCTCGATGCATTGCGATATCTACCGACTGGAATCGCGAAAAAAAGATATGTAGCCTATAGTTATAGTTAGAATATAATAAGGATAAGGGTTCAGTAATTTATCATAAGTCACCAAAAAGAAGGAGTATAAATCCAATGAACCTTTATTTTGTCAGTTACTACGCCGAAGCATACGCAGACATCATAATAACAGCGACTACAATTCACAATGTCGTCGACATAACTTATAGTTTTGGTATAAAGTGTAAATTACAGAAAATCGTTAAAAGCTATATTTTGAAAACTGTTTTTCATGATGATCATATGAAACTAAATACAAAGGTGATAGCTACAACATTGATGGAAAGTTTCCGCCTGTTTGTAGATACCATTTAATTATGCATTATTATCCTAAAATACTTTTTCTAACTAGAGCTCACCGTATTGACCAAACTGAAGCGCTCGCTTAGTAGGTTCGCATGGTAAAGATAAACTTGAGGATGACACCATACTTGTTGTGGCATTATTTCGTGGTCTTCTAAAATTGACTCGACCTTGCAAATATTGTCAGGATCTGCTGAGAGTATACTGGGCTCTTTTCGAGCCAAATCGGCCAATGTAAAGCTCGATAAGGTGTCCACCTGGAAGACAGTAACACTTCAATACGTCTTGATCATCCCTCTTTAAGCAAGACTTTTTTGCTTACTTTTACTTCTTTGTCATACCTAAGGCTACTATTTAATCAACCAATGCCCATTAGGAGCCGAGGCCACTCATCACTGTGTTTAGGACACGAATTTTTGCCTTAGGTGTAGAACCCGGATTCCACTAAATTTTAAATTTCTCTTGCTAATTCAAATGCCTGAGCTAAGCAATTAATGCATCATAGTTGAAACTTGATTCCAAATTACGGGTTTAACTGACATGACAGTCATTATTCGAAGTAAGTAAATAAAAGAAATTGCGTGTGCCGAACATTTGACTCAGCAATAATATAAAAGTAAAATAATTTTTTACACAATGTCGTTTGAGATACAACGACCAGAATGATATGATCCATGTTAAGTCAAGATGAACCATCATCAGATTTTAAGTTTTTCAGTCTAATTGATGACTTGCTATATTATTCTATCAATAACTTAGAAAGATCTCTAATAATCACCCTATCAACGAGGGCCTGAAGGTTAAATGTATCGAGGGTAAGGAAGTATTCACTGCTTCGAATGGTGTCCAAATCCAAACCGAGTATCTTTTGAAGAATATTAAGCTTTGCATCCATGAGACGTACGCTCTGCATTACCTATGAGAAAGGGTTGTTAATTAGTTTTTGCAATATTTACGCATTTTGGACATAACGTATTATAGACAAATAAATGATTTGGGAAATTTTAGCCATCTAGTTAAACTGTGTACACCAAAAGGCCTAGCCATAGGGATTAAACTACAATATCCGATCGAAAGCTTCCTCCCCTCTTAAAAAAAAGTCTGCCTTTCCCGTTTTCTTTACTTGCTATTCTTTACTTGCTATATTTCTGATATGCAATTCGAAAGCGCTTTTCTTGCCCAATCTATGTGTCTTATCGATATTATCTTGTAAGTGCACTTTCAACTCGAAAAGGTCCTCAGAAATTCTAGGTGAAAAAGGGAATTTTCGACACCGTCTATGCAATGCATTTGGTAGAAGCCAAAACTCCGCTAAAACAACCCTTTACATTTGCTTTGTGTACAATAACGACAAAAAAGACCGCACTAGGCTGGCTTACCAAGTCTAAAAATGGTATCTGGGATTAACAGAATGCATTCGCTTTACACGACCGTCTGAGTTTAAGAATGGCTGTCTGAAAGTATTTCTGAAAAAACACAATTGACAAAAAACCCTGGAACTGGCCAAAAAGGTGGGTTGCAGATACACAACTGTCCTTAGCCACCTCAAAGTCCTTGAGAACTTGCGTACCTCATAAATTCTTTGAAACCTACAAAAATTTCGGCTTAATTCTGCATCTCAGTGTTTCGCATGGTGTCAGGCGCCAAGCAGCCACAATAACGGATTTTTGCACAAAATCATCATCATAAAATGGTGTTTATTGTCAATATGAACCACAGATCAGAATGAATTGCTCCAGAAGAGAAGCCATGGTACAGGACCCAACCAGATCTTTATCTACAAAGTTATACCTCGTTCACTGGTAAATAATCTCAGGAACCACACATTTAGCAGTAAAAGGGGCCTCAAAACCTGAGTGGACGAATTATTCAACACGAAATCTGAAAATTTCTGACGAAGAGAGATAAATAAATTAGTTGACCGATAGGAGAAGTTCGGAAACCGGAAATACATGACAACTTATAACCACAATAATAAAATATGTAGTTTTGTATAAAAAAAAACGTATTTTTTTCTTGTTTTTTCTTTCCAACCCGGTAATTTGTATGGCAGAATTAAAATAACAGAAACTTACGTATGCATATTGTTACATTATGCGCGTTGCATCTTGATAAACTCATTGCTCTGGGATGAACGAAATCATATGGGGCTTCATCAAAGCGGCCCAAACAGAGCGGGAAACCGCGAATTTGAGGGCAGAGAAGCTAAAAAATGGACTAGCGGAATAGCCTAAAAAGAATAACCTGGGATTCAGGTAGTTTAGTCAGAACCTACCTTAGCGGACTGTGCAAGTGTGGTACACCCGCGATGTACCCTATTACTTGGCAGGGATTCACGCAAGCTCTGACGAACCGCGCTTCAGAAGAAGAGTTTAACTCGCCCGAGAAATTTTTATACCTTATTAAAATCTGGAAAAAAATATTCGTAGCGTTGCAGGCGAGGCAATCGTTGCTCGACGAAATTAGGCTAAACCTCAATTTTGTTGCGCTTTTAGGAAAAATACAGGAGATGGCTAGTCATCTTCTGAAACTTACGGGCGTATCAATGGATTTGTTCCCCGAGTTTGTAAGTACCGTACTTCCTGTGCGAGGAACCCGGCACGTCGTAAAAATTTCACGCAATTTGGTCTAAGAGTGAAGTATCGAGGATGGCTTATTAGTATGGTGTGAACACCTCAAACGATTTCTGGATATCACGTCAACACGAACCAGGATTCGAGCCTCACGTTGTTTGAAAATCACCCGGTTGTAAGCTAAAAATATGCATTATGCGGACGGCACTCCCGCTTCAGCTATAACAGCATATAAATAGAGTCCTCTCTGGTCGCCGATAAGAAATATGCTTAAGCGAGGTACAGTTAACTTAAGTATTTCACAGACTACTTGCGAGTTGAAAATGCAGCATTATACGGAAAGGAAAATCTGGTCTTAGGGAACATAAGGAAAAATAGGGAATACTTTAGAAACTGCCTGCGAACTCCTTACTATAACGACGATAGGTTCTTGGAACGCCTATGGGACAGCTACTGACAATCGTGACAAGCTGAGCGCTGAACTCTGTAGAGCACGATCCCACGAATTACAAGTGCTTAGTAGGATTGTGTGCAGGAGTCTGTCCAAACAGACATTGCTGAATAATTAGGAAGCTAGCGGCGGATCCTCTGTATTGTTGGATGATTTGACCACTTTCTTATACAATTAGTGGGTTTTACGAGTGGGCGAAACTACAATCGGTAATGGTAATTAAAACAAGGGACGAAATCATTCTCACGTGGGTTAGAAGCTCGTGGTTTTTCTCTGTAAAAGGAATCTGTGGGGTACACTTACAACATTCGGGGCTTTTACTGACTCATGCGAGTCGTCAACCTTCAATCGTCCTTTTAAATACTCTGTCATAAAAATTGCCCAAAATTTCGCCACTGGAATCGACATCAACCTTTCTGCAGGTAAAACCTGTGAAAACATCGGTAGAGTTTAACATTAGACCTTGGTTGGTTACATTGGTTCGTTGGGTATTGTACAGAAAGCTGCATATCTGACAACATATAATCTTGACGTTAAAGCTGAAATGGGTCAAGCCTACCCACCTGCAAAAGGCGATCGGTTAGAGAGCGCGGGCAGTCAGGTATTTGGTTCACTACAACCGTCAGAACATCACTATGAAGCGCAATCAACTTATCAACTCTGCATAACAAAGAAAACAACCAGAAGTTCTTTATAAATTAACTAAGTATATTCTCAAAATATGATCTATTATTATTGTAGTTGACGTTGCCTTTAAGTTGCAATTATATAGCCAAACACAATTATGGATGAGCAAAAAAAATTGCAACAATAAAAACGTTCACGATTAATCGTGCACTACGCTTTTCAGTTTCGTCTGCTTCCTGTTTACGAAAAGTTTAGTTGGTATCCATTTTGTTTCATACAAGTTGTCAACACTGCTTCACGAAACCTCCTGTTTGAGAAACGTTAGCTGTTGATCCAGTGTCAAAAAGCCATTAAAGGCTTTCGATTACGAGAACTCGACAGGTGCCCTGTCTTCAGCGAATTATAACGTTTAACAGATTAGAACATAAAGTCATATTTTCAAGCAACAAATCTTATCAATTGAAGCAACAACATTCTAGTAAACGATTAGAAAATGAGAACATCTTACGTTTTGAGTTCATATAACGTCCTTTGTAAAATGTAAGGAAAGACAATCACATGACGCAGATTCACTTGCTGTAAACCTAACTCTTCAAGAATGTACTTTTGGTGTTGTATAGTAACCCATGGTCTTGCCAAGATTCGTCCGTACCTAAAAAAGAAATTGTCATTTTCTGATTATACCAAATGACGTTGACAGGGTATAAAAAATTATTAATGAGAACAGAGAATTGAAAATTTAAAAAAAAATCAGTTGCAAGTTTACTGATTTTAGTTAAAATTTCAATTACAAATTCAGAATTGCTTGATTAATAACAATAATATTATAATTAGTAAAAATAATAAAATACAAGGCGTACGGCATGAACGTTTCTTATGTTTACAGCCACCTTTCGCGTGAGTTGCAAATCAAATGCTGTAAACGACTTCTGATGTTTCCTGAAGGCTCACTTGTAGAACATCACCTGGTACAGTAGAGTAATAACTTGTCATCTACAGAGCCTATATATATACATACATATAGCATATAATTTGATTCTTCTGCAAAGCAGATTCATTTCGACTTAGAATGTCCTCCCGGCAACCGCCTTATGAATGCGTCTACGCAATTTCGCGATAAGTCCAAAACGTCTTATATTTTGTTTGTTCTCTTAAGGCTCGAGAAGAACCATCTTGACATAGAGGCGGCATTGTATAACTGGTAATATTTTGATCTTGAAGTTACAAGGTATTAGCGAAGGAAGAATGAGTTGAATGCTTGTTGAGGGTGCATTTCGTTCTACCATACATAAATCACCTGCGGGCATAAATATTTCAACTACAAGTGTTTCCAGTCGCCGCAGAAAACTGTTTGAAAGAGACAAGAAAAAAACAACGATACAGAGATTTCTGGTCGAATCCCTAACGTATATTTCGTCGGCTTTCCTTTTCATATCATCAGTTTTGGTGGGGTAGTACTTACTGTCACACTATGAAGATAAGTGTTACTTTGGTTTTAATTTGATTGTAACTCTTCAATATCTTCGTTTCCTAAAGCTTTAAAGTCAGTTCAAATAGGTTTAAATAAGTTCTCACGTCTTCCGCTGGCTTTGCAAATAAATCTTGAGGAGGACTATTTCTAGCTTTCTAGAATTTACTCTTCCTGTGATACCTTTGTCATTCGAATTGTGACAAAACTGGGGTAAGATTTTAATTAGCTCCATTGCGCGAAGGTCGCTTCCACACGTCAACGTTGCGGTAACCGCCTTGTCTATCTCATAAGTGATAAATTCTTGTTGTACAAATCCGCTTAGTTGCTAGTTACAGGGAGGAATACTTCCTATTTAGCCTTGTAAAAGTGTCTAAATTATTTTGCCGAGCGCTGTACTTCAAAAATAGCAGAATGCTCTAGGCATTAACCAATTGCTCTGAACGTACTCGACATAACTAGTACTGCTCTTATTACAAATAATTGATCGGTTTTTATAAGATGGTAGTACCGATCACGTCTAGACAGATGTGACATTCAATAATCATTTTAAAGTAATAGATTTAATGCTACGAAAAATTCGCTCAACTTAGCTTTCTACCACCAGGTTCGTTGATAAATTAAAATTACCATGTTTTCCGTTGTCAACAATTACTGTGTAAGATACATAAACTCGATACTACTCGATTCAGCATTGCTCATACGGAACCAGTTACAGATTGTGAAAATGTGTTTGGATAGCTTACCTTATTATAGACTCATTATCAAAGCTCGTTTTGAGCATCCGTGCAGCATGCAATATCTGTGATAGTGTGCGATTCCGCAGTTCTGGATAAGAACGAAAAAGTTTAAGGCACTTCCCTTCATCGCAGTTTAGAACTTTGCTGAGCTCTTGAGCAGCATGTCGTACCTGTAAGTACAAACCGGTTTATTCCTCAATACAGTTAAGATCTTTAGTTATGGTAAGGAAGTTAGCACACATGACGTCACTTCTGCATCTGTATAGATTCACGAATGAAAAATATATTGTCTACCGACTTCGGTAAGAAGCAAGAGATACGTACTTTTTATAGTTAAATTTGAAAGGGAGACATGAAGAAGCGTTTTATCTATTATACATAAGTTCAAGCAATCCCACTGGTATATCCCAATATATAATTACGAATTTAAAAATGGAGAGCCAGTGCATTCCAAAAATGCCCCTCCCATCTCACCTAGACATGGTTATAATTATTTTACTATTCTCCGAAGCCTTTTTCTAAAGAAATGACGCGTATAAATTCGAACTTTATAGTTCATGCCGACCTCGCTTATTCTATTATCAACTACTGCAGCGACTGTCTAAACGGGTCATGGGAAATACGATTTATAGATATGAATTTGAATGAATGTTCTAAAGAAAACTAATCATACCTGTTGTTCCATCATTCGATTATTTGGGTGCTTAATTCCTACGGTGGCCTTGTAGTTACGCACAAAACCATTTGTTCGCGCCAAGACATTTCTGTCTATGAAAATTGTCCCGAGCTTCCGTAGCATTGGTAATCTTACGAGCTCACTAGTGCAGTAGACTCGACTCTCAGACAATTACACCTGTCTAACAAAAAAAACACACCAAAGTACTCCACAGTCGGTTTACTTGCGAGAAAACACATGTTCGTAAATATTTCTCTCTAAACTAGTCTTCTAAAATCTGCAATAATAAAGAATGAGCATCTTGATTGTTGACTCGTTGCCGAGAAGGGTCTCTATACGCTTGTCGTCTGCTAGCTTTCCGTGAATAATCCGAAACATGTGCAAGATGTTTGTTCGTTCTGTGGTCGGGGCGCATAGTGATGGTTCAGCTTACGTGAAGTGTACAAGTGTGTGATAGTAGAAGAATTTTTTCAATTGGACTGCGATTTCTAGACGAATTTTCGGACGGAAGTAAAGATAGGAAGGTTATATCTGTGGTCTGATTGCTCTTAGTTTTGTATATAATTATATTTGTCACCGATAATCCTCCAATTGGCATCAGGGGGTGCTCGAACATGATGTAAAACAGGTGCACTTGAATTGTAGGGAAGAAGATCGTACATATATGAATAGGCTGTTTGCACTCGTTTTTTCTTCATTTATTCTCTAGGTACAGGTGGGTGATTGAGATGATGATCTAGAATTGTGGAGGTAAGAAGCTTGCTCAGATTTAGTGTTAGCAAATACCTATTCATATTTATACTACTATGAAATTTATACTATTTTAGCCGGGCACTGTCATGTATTGCGATCAGACTAAACGGATCCGAAATTTCATTGTGTGTAATACGTTGTATGGGAATTATGTAATATTTTTTTACGCATCTTGAAACGATCTACATTCTAAATAATTTTTCACAGGTACAGTGAAGATGGCGAACGGAATCGAATCCACAATTCCTCTACAAGCAGTTGATATACGATCGACATCTAGTGACAGTTTACCACCTTCATTTGATGAAAACATAGCTGAGGACAATGTGGCGAAAAACAGTATCAACTCATGGAATACACAGCAGTTCCAAATAAACGAAATTATTTCGCGACCTAAGAAGTGTGCTGTATGTCATAAGACGGCCAGGTGGGTATTGAACTATTTTTATGGACGGAAATCTGCTAGTTATTCTCTAAGTAAGCATTTTAGAGAAGGACTTTGGAAAATTAAATACACTGTATAAGTTGTTTAAAAAATATCTAAATAGCATGCTAGTTGCATTGATTATTTTTTGTTAGCAAATGAAATCCTTCAAACTTATGTCTAAACTGAAAGCTACACTCTCACTACAAGGGTCATCTGGTATACCTTAAGAGGATGTACGCGTTATGTTTGATTTAAATAAACAGTAATAGTTATCATAGATTTATGGGTTCGCTATATTTCTTTAATTGTTCCTCTTTATTTGTCTGACAGTAAACCGTATTTGATGCAGTAGTACTGGTATTCAAATGGCGTAGACGAAATTCTTGAAAGAACTTTTTGACTTTTGAAAAATGGCGATCAAATATTTTGACGCTACCTTATGTGTGTGGTTGCTGCAAATTAGGGCAACGTGCATACTACAAAGCAGATTATAGAACGTGGGAAGTTAATACTGTTTTTTAATTGTATAAATACCACACAGGTACTCTTGCCCGAGATGCTCGTTACGCACATGTTCACTTGGATGTGTGAAAACGCACAAGAAGCAGACGGGCTGCGACGGAGTTCGAGATCGAGCTGGGTTTATCCCTATGAGCAGATTTACGGATCTCGATCTTCTTTCTGATTACAGGTAATGCATTAATTCATTGCTATGACATTTTCATTTCAGGTCAAAGTATCGTCTGTAAAAATCAGGCCATTATCATTTAACCGGGCTTGTCGTATATTGTAGAATAGTTTGTATAGAAAAATGCACTATATGTGAGTTTGCATGGCTATTACTATGAGAATAAAATATTGGTCACAGTTTGATATAAGTTCTTCAATTTTGTTATCAGGTTTCTGGAGGAGTCGGCTCGCATGGTTGATAGCGCGGTACGCAATAATATAGTAAAACCTCATCGGCGCGAAACTCTTCCCACAAACTTGATGAATATACAGAAATTTGCGTGGAGACGTTCTAAGATATCTCTACAATTCTTGCCGCAGGTTTGTCTTTCAATTAAAATAATAATAAATAAGACAAAAATAAAATTTGTTCTGCAAATGACGATTACTATATTTCGAAAGGTTATATATATATATATATATCTATAATGCGTATCTTCAATTTTGGGTTACGGTAGTATTGGCAGTCACCTATTTGTAATAAGAGTATCCTTATAGCTTAACAACTACATACGAACTTATCTTTCCTTTGCAGATGTTCAAACGTCGCAGGTTAAATCGAATATCTATCAAAAAGTCGCATATACATTGGACGGTTGAATTGCAAGTACCCCAGGGTCAGCTAATAGTGCTCAAGCACGATATACCTTCATCCACGATGGTCAAAGAAATCGTTGTCCAATTCCTTGCAAGTTTAGCGACTCACGAGCAAGAAAAGGCTGCTGCACTTCTTAATGCTTCGATCGGAGAAATCTGTGTGCTGATGAAGGTAAGCTGAAATTTTACATTAAAATCTTATAACGAACTTTTAAGAAGCGATAACACTTATCAATGTCTAAATGTTTCATTCTCTGCTATGTAATTGTTTATTGTATAAATTAAATTTTTTCAACTAACTTTCGCTGACAAAGCAAAGCTGTTATAGCTAAATAATGTACCGTATTTCGTTCAATTTATTTAGCTACGAATTATGATATCCGAATGTCAATTATCTTCTGTGTGTTCTGCAGGCCGTCGGTAGACCCGCGAATTATGAGCGCTATTTCGAATTCGACCTTGATTTGTCACTGGTGGAAAACCTTCGTGGAAAAATGCTCGTTGAGTTTCCCACTCTGATTATCATTACCACGGAGCATCGAGGAGCATTTGATATTGAGGAAACGATATCGACGGATCAGGTTGAACCGACGGAACTACCATCATTTTTCCGAGAAATCGATGGGTCTGATAATGATGAAAACGAACAAACAGAACAGTCACATAATAATAATAATAATAATACTTGGTGAAAGAAAAGGCAAGGTCTAAAAAACTAATCAAAAAAAATCGCAATTTATTTTTCGCACTTACTTAATTTTTGAGCAAACTGAGCATGTGCTCAGGGTGAAGTTTGTAAAGTAACTGACGTTGTATGCAAAGTGTATGCGGATAACACACAGTAGCCACTTAGAAAGTTGCTACGTTGAAGCATGGTTGTTATTGTTATGACCAAGAACAAAGTACGCATGTAGAGCAACGAGAATAACTCAATTACTCAATAACTGTATGCTATAACCGAATGTTGCGAGTTGCTGTAAATTGCATAGAAATAATACGACTCAGTTTACGAAGCATAAAGAACAGGTATTGATATTAAATGTATTGACAACTTTAGCAACACAACAATAAAGTATTTTATCATACGAACGTGTGTCAGTAGGACATTCGACTTGTTCCAGCATTCATTTGAAATCTGTGTTACATAAATGACTAAAAGCAGCTTAGAAGTTTACTGGTACCAGTCAGTCCAGGACATTTTTCTCAGCTTATTTCAAGATGTCACTAATGAATGGTCAAATTTAACTTTTCATGGTAGAGTTATTTATTTGGGTATTTTTCATGTATCCTTTTGACAATAGACAGGCTCCTTGGCAAACGGAGGAAGCAATCATGGAGACGAACTATCATCCATAGAATTATTTCTAGATTTCTGCCTTTTCTTTTGAATGCTCTTAATTCAGGCAGTATTTAATGGACCTGAAAAATTCCGATAGATTCAGGTTCGATTGAACAAGACCTGGGGCATAATACAAGCGGAAACATTTTTTGCGCAACTCGCACCAAATTTTTGCCGTGTTTTGTTTTACTAGAGCCATTATGTTGTATTTTTTCTCATCAAGCCTAACGTGCTTATTGCATTCGCACTTCGTATCAATCTATTTACAAGGTATACTTCAGAAGTTTATAGTAGAGTGCTCCATTAGATGCCACCAAGCGCTCCATCTTTCCGATGTAGAGAGTTGAATCCAGCCAATCGTTTTTGTGCTGAAAATTGTCCTAAAGCTATCCTTTGTTTAAAATAGTCTGCTTCTAAAACAATACTTTATATTGCTGAAAGATCTCCTTGATCAAATAGGAGGGTCAATTAAGCTAGTCTCAGTAATCCTATATGCGGCCACTAACGCGCTATATTTCTCGTTACTTCTTGCCTATTTCATCTGGTTTCCATTATTGGGGTTTCTCATCTCTGTCAAAAGTTTCGCCCAGGATCTCTCCGGGCTATGTAAGATAGAGCTTTTGTCAGCGTGGGCGATTCAATCCGAAAGCAGAATTGGATATGCAGTTTTTCGATTCCATGATTTAATTGTACAGATAACTGCTACTAACGAAGAGAATGATCGTTTGAGATCGATAGGATGAACAGAAATGTTTTAGAGCCAGGTTTTAAATATAAAAAATGTGCTCAGCTCAACAATTGCCGGTATTACTCTTAGCCTACCTAATATATGAAAAAAAAAACATCGCTGAAGCATTTTTTTTAAACTAGATTAATATAAGGCTAACCTATACACCTTGCAGAAGCTTGTGGTTTCAATCCAAGGTCGTAACATTTTTTTGTGTTAAGCAGAAAACTATTATTTACTGTTTTGACGGCGGTTTATCTATTTTAACTGGTGTCAATTTATTCTTCATTTCACATGGTTGTAAATTGCTTTCTTGCCCAGTTACCCAAAACATGATGAACTCATGGAAACGTTTCTATTGCTTATTTTTGCAGCTGTTCATGTACCGCATATCACCCAGTGGTCTTTAGCTTTGCGGTTAGACACTTGAGATAAACGCGCCTTATGAACGACCACGAGAACACATATCTTCTGTATATCTTATTCGGTAATTTTTTGTTCGTATATAGCGGTCTAGCTTTTTGTAAGTGGCCATGCCTTCTAATCGATTTGTCCAGAATAACTTCCCACCTGTTTATTTATAAAATCGATTCAAATCGTCATATGCTGTTTGACTAATCTGGTTGATTGATCCCTTGCTACATTAGTAGTCTCAACCGACGGGGCCTGTTTATACTGCGATACCTCGGAAACGTTGACACATTAACTTAAGCATGCGCTTGCAGAAAAACGCGTACCTGCTATTGCGGAAATTTCCAGCTTTGTGTTCTCATTGACAAATGTAATGTTTTTTAGTTTATGATCTCGCCTAGTAGGCCCTTGTGTAGTTTTTCTTATTTATTTCACGTGAATCGGAATTTTCGGATTGAAGTTCAGACACGCGGGCTGTGTAAATGCAATCGCAGTTACAAATTAGATGCTCTACATACAGGAAGAACCATGTATGCTTTTTTTTGGGGTTACATACATACCCCATCGGAAATAAGGCTTACTTTGTACTTTTCTGTGCATATCTGATAGAGTCAAACTCCGGTTTAGTTTCTGAAATCTGCACTATGGAGGAAAACGTTTAGTGGCACTCATTGGGTTTTAGCCACCCCCTCAGCTGTAGCAGCTAGGAAAGATATATAAAGACCTTCTTAAATCCCTCTAGTACAAACATTTCACATTTAGCATATACATTATGTTAAAAAGAAATTAAAATTGATAGTTTAATTAAATACTTTTCACTATTGACTGCTTTTGGTCATGTGTAAATTGTATAGGAATCTATCTTTTTGTTTTTAGTTTTTTAAAGAGACCAGGAATTTCTTTTTTTTAAGCAATTATTGGGCAGATTTTCGTTTGATTTATTTTGAACTTGTTCCGTGTTGACTGTCTAGATCTCGAAAAATATAAAGACTCTCTACATTAAAATGCCCAGAAAACTATTAAAAGGTATCGATGCAATTTTAACGAAACTTGAAACCATTTACGGACCTTTATTTGAAGCAAACATACCTACTGCTGAGAAATTAGACGGAAAAAGAAGCATAAATAAATACAGATAAATACTATCGATTGCCATAAGCAAAAAAGCGTGCGTCGTGTAAAAAATGTAATGAAAGCTCTTTTCGGACAGCTCGAGCTGTTAGTTGAGCTATTTGGGTTGTTTTACAATGGGACCAGCTTACATTTTTTACGCAGAATTAGCGATAGAGGGAAGTGGATATTAGTTCACTTTCACTTAACTGTTTCCTTTTCCATTCCACCAGAAGTCGCTCGAAGCACAAACACGTACGGATTACGGATCTGCTGTAAAATTGTTCGAAAAACTTAGTTTTACTGCGCTTCTGGCCCCTATGTTATGGCTTAGTAATTATTGCTTTCTTGATTTGGAAAAATGTAATTAACTAGTTTTATTTTTTATTATTGCATTATACTCCATACATCTTCTTCCGCTGTAGTCAAGTGCTTCTTCATAGGATGCCCTATCTTCAGTTAGACGTGATAAATAAAATTTAATCCGTGCAGATAAAGCCTAATCTAGACTAATTATTACGAAAAGAAAGTGTCCGTAAAATGAAGAAGCGACTTCAAATGGTACGTTTATGATAAATAGATATATACATAGTTCAATGCTTTGAAACTTATTATTTCTTATATAATCTTTTTTTACCTTTAAGATATCTTGCTATTCATCGATATCGTTTCATAAGATTAGTCGATTAGGTATGTACTTAGAAATATAGAGAAAGTGGTTAGAGATGTTGCCTCCTTAAATTTCGATGGCAAAGCGTCATAGTTCATAATCAAAATTAAAACAAGTACCCAGTGTACCTGTTTTAGTTTTGATGTACAGTTGTACTTCTCTTTCTGTCTTTGCTTTTAATATGGCAACATAAAATGGTCAATAATTGTTTGCATTAATTTCGCAAGTTCTGACTAGCGTTTCTAGTTAGGCCATGACCATCAATGCTTTCGTTATCAGTTAGAATTTGGTGGAATTTCATTTGCAGTCATCAGCTATACGAACAACCGGCTCTGCCAGACGCGTCTTGTCTAGGCCAGGTCTGGCTTGAGAAGTCACGATGAAGCTAGCATCTTCGTCTCTGTTTCTACTGTGACTACTAGTGTTGCCTCCGTGTATATGTCTGTATGATATGAAAGGCAATTGTTCGCCTGATGCACTGACCTTTACCATCTCACGTATGTTCAAGTTTAGGTTAATTCTCCAAATATATATATGTAATCGCATATGTTTACGAAGATCACTAAGCGGACGTGGTGAACAACCTAATTTGCTGCTATGATAAAGTTCCCTTTTATACCCCAAAAAATGAAGTTTACATGCTAACAAATTGAATTCTACACTGTTCACACACTCGAGCTTTTAGGATATGTGAAAATTGTACTTTGGAGACGGTCAATTTGCAATTTTGCGATCGAAATTCACTAATTAAACTGTATTAGGAAGCTAATTCCACATTGAAATAGATTAAATATGTTGCTGTAAAAGGCGCCATCTGTACAGAAAAGCAACGTATATGGAAAACAAAGACTCAACAATCACCAAATGAAAAAAATAATCTGGCGCGTCAATTTATATATGATACCCAAAGGTTGCGTCAAAACGGTAAGTTATGATTAGAAAATATTCTCATTTCTGTAATACTAAACAACGCTGTGTGTATTTTTTGTAATATTATATAGTGTGGGATGGCTTTAAACGCTACACCGCATTTTGACCTGGAATGTATTGAAAGTCTGTCTAATGGAAATTTTTTTGACTGACTCGCTGCAGGATAAAACAACAATTAAGTACATACAATTTGATTTTGATTGATAAAGTCAGATCCTATGTATTTATTCCAAAACGTTGAATTAGATATTGACACGTATATCAGCAACTTTCTAAAACAATCGCTTGATTATTAGGGATTTTTTATAGAGATCGTCCGTTCCCAATATATTTATTTCAAACTGTGATAAACGGCATCGGTCTGTTAAATTCGAACAATATCAGGGTTATTTCAAAAGTGTATGTTTTTGGGCCACCCGGAAGACCGCCTTGGGAGCTCTGCAAGTTCTAAATGAAACACATGAGTTCTTTACAACAACTAGGCTCAATTTCCAAAAATGTATATCAAGTTTGCTTTTTCGTTCCCCAGCAGTGAAAGGCTAAGATCTATAGATTTCCTATAAACAGCGTTAATGCATGAATGAAGCATATATGCTACGGATACTCTGTGGAAAAGTGCGGGTCTATCAAATTTTTTGAGTTAAGCTTAACCCACTTAGGCGACAAAAACGTATGACCTATCTATCTGTTTAGGTATTTTTATTCAACCCATTGTTGTTGAAAGGTGAAAAATGAGGTCTTGAATCCGGTTCGAGTAAAATCATTACCTACATCTAACAATTAGGTGGGATTAGCTGTAAGTTTATACTTTTTACGTTACTCCTGATATATTTACTTAATAACAACATACACAACGCGATTAGAGCCAATATTTGTCCCGTCAATGCTTTCAAAAGGTGGAATGCCACGTCTTGCAAACCGTAAGTCTGCCTCAGTTCGTTTCGAATCGTAGGCGAGTAGTCTGTACATAATGTATTATACATTGTCCTAGGCAGATGTAAATATTGCACCAGCTGCATCAATAGTCGTCAACAGATAGGATTTAACCATTTTCTTTGTTTGGTCGGATATGTTAAGGCATAAAAGGCCGCAGGTATCTAGCATCAGAGAAATCAACGTCCTCGAGAGCCTCAAAACGGTTAGATGCTTTTTAATTGATACATTATATTTCTTGTCTTTTTGTTGCGATGTAGAATTTGTTTTAAAGATGGCCTGGTTACAATGAGAATCTAGGTTTATTCTATTTTTACGCACTGTTTCCGTGCTGTTCTTCTTGTAACAACAGTTGCATCAACGTAACTCGTCGTAACAATCAAATAACTCGTACCAAAGAGACTGCAATCCGGCTCCAAGGTATGTCCGGAAAAAATGCTTGTCCGATGCGCGATGTAGTTGATCCAGGCAAAAAATGTTAATTCAGGGGATCCGGACAAGGCCTAAAACGTAAAGTGGCCTGTAAGCAGGCATACTAATAAGCGGCATCTGTGACTCATATATATAATAGTTCTCAGATCATGCTGAAATGACTGCAAATGGTGCGAACCTATTATCGATATATGCCAGACAACATGCGGGATTCAATAAAGAAAATTCTAAATATTAGTAGATTAGTGCTAAATATTAAATCACATTTTCGGACGATTTTTAGTTAGAGGTTAGTTATATTTTGATCATAAATACAACATAGTCTCATTAAGTACCCGATAAAATGAAAAAAGAGAGCCACTGTCTGTTATTGAAGGTATTAGCTCTTTATGTGTCTGCATATCTAGACTACAGAAAATGTTGCCAGCCGAAGGATAAGGGGCTAAATTTGCATTCACTCAAGCGACACCCCCCCTCCCCCGCCCTACACACAAATATACTAAAAGAACGTACAAGTACATAGCGCCCATAGGAACTCCAGAAGACACAGACACTTCCTGCCATCAGGATAAATTTGAAAAGAATGGATTGCGTGGTGAAGCCAGCTGTGAGTATAAAGCATTTTACATTCTATTTGCACCTGCACGGCAACGAATTCTACCTGAATTACCTTTTTATTGTTACTTTGATTTTTTTTTGTGTACTGAATCGTTGGTATCATATATTTTGTAACAATGATCATCTACATAGAGGCGAGTCCAGGAAACCCGAAATGTGGCTTAAAAAATTCTGATGAAAATTTGACCTTCTTAAGCTGATGAAGACGTTCTATAATTACGTTTACCGTGTACTTATATAAAATGTTTGGACATTTGAGTATACTAGTTTTTGTAAAGAGTACTTCTATTTAGAAGATCTGTCCAGTTATCTATTGCGTCTGTGGTTAATACATACAAGCCAACTGATCCAATTCAGTTTTCATTTTCATTAGAGCTAAAAAATAATAGCTAACTATCGTAAACACTTTCTATTTCTCCGTGTATTCAGCCTGCTGAAGGATAAACACACTCTAGACGCTATATTCTGACCGTAAGGAGCCAGTTTTAATGCGAAAACTTTCGTTCATAAAAATGCACGCCTGACTGCTTCATTATACTGGCCAAACCGCAACAGTTCACTGTGGTAGTGACGAAATGTAGAGCTGGGGTGAATTTATTAACCACAGAAGCTTTAGAAAATAAAAAAAAAAAAAGGTGAAGTTAAGTTAATAAAGAAAAGCTTTATTTAACGTAGTAATTCATGTTACATTTAACGTGATCAACTCGGATCTAAGACGATAAATTTTGAATTCCCAAAAACTATTAATTACACTTCCGGTTCAAAACTAAGGTCGAATCCTGCGCGTGCCTCGAATTTCCATAACTGGAAAATATAGTAGTCATTATTATACAATATTTTATCTATCATTCAACACCACCACTGTTTTCTATTTCCTCCGAAAATATTTTTAATTTTTAGAACTCTACAGACCTAACATGTCTTGGTATTAATGTCTAGCTAATTAACTTATTATATTATACACTATGCATGATTATTCACTCGTTAAAATACAGGGTTTTATATTACTGGAAGGCTAATTTACATAGAAATCGGGCTTCTTTGGCCATATATTTGTAAAATTTTGTTTTATTAAGTTTTTTCGTGATTAGTTTAAGTTTGCTGATTGATCGTTTTGCAACAAAAACACCCAGAACAAGATAATTCCAAACAGAACATATTTGTGTAATAGGACGTTTCAGATTTGATGATAAGTGAGTGGCTAATGAGGACTTTGAATCAGTTATTTTTTAACATGAGCTACTCGGCTGGAATCTCGGCTTAGCAAAGTGCTACTTCATAATACGCAATTTAATTAAAAGACATAATCATTTGCTGCTGGTTTGTAAAATGGAGCGTCGATCAAAGTCTCGGGGGGCCTCGGGGAAGCCTTGTTACTTATAAAACTACTACTCATAGAAGTTTAGATTACGGGTTTAATATATACAAAGAAAAATGCACTGTTTTTATGTATGATACTTCATATAATTATGGTGATTTGCCAAAATGATATTGATTATTTCCGGAGGGAAATCCACTGGGGAAACGGATCCTAAAAGCGAAGCTCTATATCGAGGTTCAGTGTTCCAACAGATGATCGCTTTAAAATATATAGGTATAAAATAAATGACCCCTCAGCTTGGTGTTAATTACGAGATCCTTCCTATTCAATAGTTTCCTGGGAATTGACTATCTGCTCTACCTATATCACTATATAGGTAATATGTGCAGCATCTCGGACATTTTTTTTAAAATGTACCCAGAAACCTATAATGTATAGATCGTATCATAGTTCTTGTATCTTTTTAAGGGAAAATTTACACTTTCTGTGAACATGTGAACCAGGTTATAATTTTATTGTGTACGATAAACTCACACGCCGCTTTGCTTCGCCCGACGAAAAGCGCAATTAATATAACTTGGAAATATCTAGACTGGAGAACTTAAGGTGGCAGAACACTGTCGTCTAGAAATTCTTTGGCGCATAGATTTACGTTGAATTCGTTCCGATCGCATACATCCTTAATTGTAATTCAATTTGTATTGGTTTTTGTCAAAGGGTATTGAAAGGGGCGAGCAGTTGGAAACACCTCTTCCAGCGGCATATAAGTTGAACTTATTTTTAGCGATATGTATTCTTAAGTGAGTAAGTTTCTAAAACGGAACAAAACATTTCTCCATTCAGATATTTTTTACCGTGTGCAGTTTCAAGCGCATTTTAGGGTTGAGGAAAACCTTTTAATCATGACGCTCCTCAGTATAGTAATGACAGCGCGACTACATTAAATTCAGATAGTTGATGAATATTTACTCAAGCAGCTCAATCCAAAATATTAAGAATATATTTTTCAATACGTAGCCTGATCTACAGCATTTTTCATCACACTGCTACAGTCAACAGTTACTTAGATCAACCTAGTCAATCGGCCTATTTACGGCCCCATCAAATCGTACTGAAAATAGCAAAGTTCTGAATTAAATTTCCAGGGATCAGCCTACGTATGATACCCTGCCACGTTATATTACGTGGGTCTACTGTTTTGGGCTTGTTTTAATCATCTAGAGCTAGAAAAGCTGTGAGATGTTCTGGGCCAATAATCGACCAAATGAAAACTTTATTAGCAAATTACGAACAACAGGTAGTTCAATACATGTCCAAATAGAGATGTACATTTTTTTGCATTCAATCACATAGATCACATAAATGTTATAGCTAACTATTATGAAGGAGCGATATAATTCAAGAGTTTTTTACTACCTATATACATTATACATGATTGCAGTTACGTATATTTTCTAGTTGAGTATGCCAGAACCAGTAGCAGGCGGTTTATACGTAACCAAAAACACTTTTCCAGAATTCGTCAAAGAAGATAATTCATATCATCATGGGTCATACAACAGAAAGCACTCACTGTTCGTTCTGAGGTCCTCGGCTTTATGAGTCATCTTACTTTCCAGGTTCTGAGCTAGCACGGACATAGCCCATGTCGATTGGCATCTACAATGCATTCTAATATTATTTACTAAAAGTCGAATGGACTCTAGTAGGTATATCTCTTACTTTAATGGTAGTATCCTCTCGCTATTCGAATGCCTCTGTGTATGTATACTTCGCTATTAATTCTCTTCCACTGCTGGTGGTGGATGGCGATATGTTGGTGGATAAGTCTAAGAGGCAGACGTGATGAAAAAATGAAGTGCAGTAAGATTAGTTCTTCAGCTAAGGTTGCTGACTAGGCTACCTGACGTGATCGGGCCCATTTTGGTTAGTTCTATCATAACTTCTCTAAAAGATCACTTTGCTCTTTTTGTTGCTTACTTATGATTCGCCCGTGTGCGGGTTGTACAAGGGCATCGAAAAGACGCACAATGGCTATCGTTTATAAATTTGGCTTGACTTTGCCCGCCAAATACTGTCAACTGTTAATTGTACACGGTTGACCATTTATCTATGCAAAAAATGTTTAGCGGCAAAGAACCCAAACGTAAGAAGAAAAAAGCAGCTCAAATAGCAGCAAAACCTAGACCCACGCCAATCCGTCAGAAAAAAAAACCTAAGAGAAGTCCAATTATTACACTACACGACCCCGGTCAAAGTGATAAAGTAAGATTAAGACACAGAAATACTACAGGATACCTATTTTTATTTTTATAGGATGTTTTTTATAGGTGGTTTACGGTAAATATCTATAAAATTGAAAGTGACATGGATTCTAATGTCGAAAGGAGCCATGTCAAGCCGTCGGTCTTTGACTATTTACAATAAACAAAAGGAAATTTTATGTTTTTGTGCTTGCAGCGTTCGATCCTCTAACCGACGTCTTCGATTTTATAGACAATAATATAATCAAACCTTTTTGGGCAAACGAAGTATCCAACAGACGTGCCTACTGAACACTTCTCTCGAGCCTAAATGTGTAATTAGGCATTATTAATCTGTTAAAAATGAGGCATACAACCCTAGAGGTAGGCTGGTTTGTTTAATCTGAACGACACTCGACAATTTGCAATAATAGTAACGTATCCAAGTACCAACAAGGAGCGGGACTTTTTGCTCACAAATTTATGCACACTGTCAAGATGAGATTTTAATATTTACGTTTATTTAGAGATATGTTAGTAGTTACTTTCGCTTGAAGAGTTAAAAGATTTTTGGCGCCTATAAAACTTTGCAAGTCAATGGTATGTTTGTTGCTCTGAAATTTACCTCAACACATCATAATAGTGATATTCTTATTTTGTACAATAACGATTTATAAGTAATGAAGGTTTTCACTTAGTAAAATGGAGACGTATGATTTTTTTTATTTATATAGAAGTTTTATTGTCCTTAGTATGCGTTATTCCATGCAGGCAATGCAATATCCTGCCCTCGTAGTAGCCTACCACTGAAGATTTTTAGCTACCTGGAAGTTCGAATACCAACTGCCGCCTTTTCGTAGGCTTTGCTGCAGTAGCTTTCGATGACGATGGCCGATCGTCTTTCTGCACACAAAAATGTTTTGGCAATGATTGATCCTCTTAGCATCTGTGCAGAAGCAGCATGCAACACTAACAGTCCCAGAGCGCATAAAAGTATGCACTGTATATATATTACTTGTATGATATTGTAGAGTAGGTCAGTGGTTCAGATATTTCAATATGCAATAAGAAAACGAAGATCTCATAAATAAAACCGAGAGTTATAACATCTATCCTTTTTAATTTTCATTTCTATTAGCGGTTTATTAATTGCATGGAGTATATTTAAGACTTTCCAAATGGGGGCCATCGTCCGTCTTGGAGGATAACCGAGATCCAAATCAAATCCGCTTTAAATTGCCTTGTGTACAACAAAAGGCTGATTTGTTCTGCAGCTAAAGAGCAAGAGTTGAGAATAAAGCGAATGTCTATGTGTGGCCAATAATGCGATACAGTTTGTAATACGCGTTTGAATAATACGCGCTGTGGACGAGGTCGAAAATTATCGTCAGATGAGGTTTACATTCAGTGCTGTTATTCAGCGTTGTTTTAGACAGACTTGCAATGAGGTCTCATTATTCGGTTCCATTTTTTACGGCATAAGTGTAACAGGCATCTATATGGCCTGATCTTTATAAAATCGTCTGCCGGAATGACATAACTTGCAACGAACGCTTATCACGGCAGATCAAGACTAAATTCTAGCGGTGATAGATTGTTTCATAGATAGTAATTTAGTGCGTTTTCCAGTTCTAAAGATTCTTCAAGCTAATACACACCATTACTGCTTCGTCAAGAAGATTGACTTCCTATGCAAGTTAAGTTGTCAGAGACAGAACGCGAATCTTTGTTTACTTGACTTTTACAAATTGATCACAGTGTTGAACTGACCATACGGTTCCCGACCCTCAGTGGAGCTGTGCTCTGTTTCGTTTTTAAGCTAATGAACCATTTTTCAGTTTCTAGATAAAACACATGTTAAATTCTATATTCGTAGAAGCTATCACGTATTCTGGGGGACGAATTAGTACATAGAGTTTCCGACTTGTATTGCGAAAATGTTCTGCGAAAAGAATTTGCAATATTGTCAGAAACGTTTTCCCTTTTCGAAGAATCAACTCCTCCAATGGTAGTGTAACATACGTAGAATTTGAAGGAATTTACTAGAACTAACATTCTGCAACATACGTACGTGGTTAGGTATCTTTCCATCGTGAACATCGACCTTGCGCTGTTTACTTCCCCTAGATCCATAACCATTGACCCGCACACAAAGCCCAGTGTGTATCTAGAATCACTGACAAAAACGGCCACGTTCGGGCTACGTTGATTTCGTTGCTTTGGATGTACGTGTATGGGCG